GATGGGAAGCTAGCTTATTGACGCTGTTCGATGCCTCTGCCGCCGTCGCACTCGCCCTCCTGCTCCCTCTCCCTCATCCCCCCGTCCGTGAGAGCCCAGAGCTGTGGTGCGCTTTTCTTTCCAAGCCAGTCGCTGCTACGACCCTCCACACGCGCGGGGAGTGACGAGCCGGTGTCTCGTCATGGCGAGGCGATAAAAAAGGAGGTCTTCTCTGGGGATCTCCCCCAAGGAGAAGTCTGCACATCGATCTCATTCCCCCCCCGTGTGAGCCACGTACCTCTTTCCACTGGCTAGCATAGTGTGCCCCCCACCGCCACGCTACCCAGGAAGGTGTTGGTGCCCCACTGGGGGTGGTGCTGCTGCCTGGGCGACGACAGAGAACGGGGTCGACTGCGCCGACATTCGCGCGCAAGCTTCCCGCGTACGGCCGCGCGCGAGCGCCCTCTGCCTCGCGCGGTGTGCCACGCTGCCGCGCTGGCGGCCCAAGCAAGCCCACGCGTCAGGGTGCTATGCCATCTCGGGGTAAGACGTCGCCCTCCTGGAAGTCGCACCTGTCGCCGCGCCGTGTCTCCCGCCGCGCGGCCTCACACGCCTCGGGGAGGCTGCCGCGGCCACCGGGGGCAAGCTCCGCCTCGGGCGCGGTTTGGCTCGCCGCAGGTAGGGTTTGCCGCGGCGCCGGATCCGCCCGCCTTGGGGCGGGGCACGCAGGGCTTGCCGTGGGCTTGCCGTGGGGTCGGCGTCGTGCGCTTCTGGCGCGTCGAGGGCCATGCGGCGCGGCGGCACCCGCTGCTCGGGCAGGCTAAATCGCACAGGCGCCAGCGCGGGCGCGGGAGGCCCGTGGCCGCCCACGAGGGCCCCCCCCCCCCCCGCGGAGTAGTGGAGCGCGGAGGGGGCCCCGCGGGGAAAAAACTCCGCGCGCACCCGCAGCCTCGGGCCCGCCTGCCTGCCGGCGAGGAGCGGGCTTCGGGGGTGCTGCGGGGTTTTCGTGCGCGGGGCGGCGCGCACCATATCAGGAGGAAAAGAGACACACAGACACGATGAATCCTCGACTCCCCAGGGAAATGTGGGAACCTATGGGAAGTGGGGGGGAATGCAGAAACCCAGGAAATGTGGGAACAGATGGGGAATATTTTTATTTGTGTGTATTTATGTGTGTGTCCTGGGGCCCCTTCACAATGGGGGGGGGGGTCATCGAGAACAAAAGAACCCCAAACCCTGATAACGCGATGGAGATGTGGCCTCACTAAGGCCCCCGTCCTTGCATTATAGGGATTATTACAAGCTGGGCGATTCGGCCTGGTACGTCTGCAGGACAAGCCCCCCTTATCCCAAGTGTTCTTGGCCCTCCTAACTTGGCTCCCCTCCCAAAGGGTTAGGGCGTTCTCCCTGCTTATCAGGAGGGGGGGTCTAAGAAACACCCCTGCTTCTTAGAAGGCGCGGGCCTTCTCCATAGATATAAGGACGCAGCCTCCTTCCAAGAAGCCTTGGCCCCCAGAGGCCCAGACCGAGGAGCAGCTTGCCAGTCTCAGGCGGGGCAGAGAGGACGAGGAGAGATCCGTTCCAGGGCGTCCCTCGGAGCTCTCACAGCATTCCGGAGCGCTCTCAGCAGGCCGCGGCGCCCGAGGCGTCCTCCCGAGCCGCCGGCCCTCGGAGACCCTCCACGTTTCTCCTCGGCTGCTTCCGTCCTCGCCCTCCTCGGTCTCGTCGCGCGTCCTGAGCTCGCTCGCGGTGCCCGAGGTCCCGGGATGTCTGCGCTGTCGTTGGCGTCTCCGCCACAAGTCAGCGAGCGAAGAGCGGTACAAAATAAACTTTCCGCCGTCGGGGGCACCTGCCCCTGGTCGGCTGGAAAGTGCATACCCCTACGGTGCCACCGTAAGGGTGTAAACGTTCCAGCCGCCCTGGGACAGGCGCCTCCGACAGCGAAAAAGTTTATTTTACACCGTTCTTCGCCCGTTGAACATGAGCCCTCCATTGATCCTCGGCTGGTTCTCTCCTCGCCCTCCTGGTCTCGCCTCGCGTCCTGAGCTCGTTCGCGGTGCCCGAGGTCCCGGGATGTCTGCGATGTCGTTGGCGTCTCCGCCCTATGAGCCAGGAGGGGAAAAAGCACACAGACACAATTAATCGTCGATCCCCAGACAAATATGGGAAAATATGGGAAGTGGGGGGGAAGACAAAAGCCCTGAAAATATCGGAAAATATGGGGATTATTTTTATTTGTGTGTATGTATTTGTGTGTCCCAGGGCCCCTTCAACAAGAGCCCTCTCTCGCCTCGGGCCAGCGAGCACGCGCGGAGGACGACGTGCACGCCCCGCGACTGCGAGGTGGCGGCGTGGTCGGGGCCTCGGCAGCCGCCGCCGGCCAGCAGAGCCCAGGCATGCGTCTGCGAGTACGTCGGGCATGTGCCTCTGCAGGAGGAATGTTCGAACATAGTCTTAGAAATCGTCAGCAGGGGACTGTTTGTGCATAGTTGTTGACTCTCTTTTTTGTCTTTCGAAACCCGCTCGCGACCCAGGGCATGTCCCTCTGAAGGAAGAATGTTCAAACTCAGGAGGAGAAAAAACACACAGACACAATGAGTCGTCGATCCCCCGGAAAATATGGGAAAATATGAGCAGTGGGGGGGGAACACAGAAACCCAGCAACATACGGGAAAATGTGGAGAATCCTTTTATTTGTGTCTATTTATTTGTGTGTCCCAGGGCCCCTTCACAAACATAGTCTTAGAAATAGTCAGCAGGGGACGATGCTTCGCCTGTTTTTGCATAGTTGTTGACTCTCTTAGCTGTCTTTCGAAACCCGCTCGCGACCTAGTCATACTTCGACGATGCATAAGCATGAGCTTTTGGACTTCCGCGCTACAGTCAAGCCGCATAGTAAGGATGGGTAACCTTACCAGCCGTACCCTTGCATCCTTGCCTCCTCGGCCCACTCTTGGCCGCTTGCGCTGGCCGCGCCCCGCTCGCAAAGCGTCGGCATGGCCTTCCAGGGCCGTTGTGTCTTTTACGCGCATGCTTATATGTTTCGGACTGGCTGTACATCTAGGATGCTTGAACATGAACTTTTTGAGCTCCGCGCTAACTTCTTGGGTCCGCGCAGGACCCCCCATGGCGACGCCTCTGGCGCCGCCCCTTGCGCGGCTTCGTGCGACAACGAAGGGGGCCGAGTGCCGATCCAGGAACTCCGCGCGGACAACCATACATGCCTGATCAGGCCACGGATCATTGCATGAGTTTGCTTATCGCAGGGCAGTTGTTGTTGTGTCCTGGTTTGCTTGTCGGCCTTTTTGATTCGCACAGCGGTCGAGGCTGAGTCAGGTGAAGCTCTGTGGTAGTGCTCCTTCCTCCTCTTACTCAAGCTGTTACTGGGGTCTCAGGATTGTGTTTCTTGTGGAAGGTTTCTTGCGGTTGAGCCCCTACTGTAGGTCGAGGATGATCCGCTCCAGAGTGTTCCGGAACGTTCTCAGAGCGTTCAAGAACGCTCTGAGCAGACCGCGGCGCCCGAGATACCCCCCAGCGCCGCCGTATCTCAACAGAGGTTCTCGATTGATCCTCACCTTACGTCTTACGTCGCGAAAGGCCTCCCTCGCCCATGTTCGGGTTGAACCGAAGGGGGGTCCAGCGACAAGGGGGTGGTGCAATTGATTTGGTGCAATAGATCTCTGGAGTTGCCATACATTTGGGGCGTGCAGTACATTCCAGGGGCGCAAATGTATTGCTGGGCTTTTGCGCGCCATGCGCTACTTGCACTACAATGCAATCCAATTCTCCTGCGCAGTACATTTGGAATACGATCGCCCCAACTCTATTGCACCACCCCCTTTCAGCTGGACCCCCTTCTGGGCCACCCCGAGCAAGGCCTCCGTCGCCAATGTCCGGGCACGCCTCTGCCTCAGCCCCGCGCCGCGGATGGCCTCTCCTCCGGCGGCCCGCGCGCCCTCCTGCGGCCCGACGGAGCCGAGGTCTGCGTGGGGCGCGTGCTCCCGCAGCTGCGGCGGCGGAGTCCGCCTCCGCTCGCGCCACATCTCCGCGGAGGCCTCCTCGGGATCGGCGGGGGCGAGGCGGAGGAGGAGGAGGAGGAGGAGCGAGGAGGAGGAGGAGGAGGAGGAGGAGGAGGAGGAGGAGGAGGAGGAGGAGGAGGAGGAGCGAGGAGGAGGAGGAGCGAGGAGGAGGAGCGAGGAGGAGGAGCGAGGGAGGAGGAGGAGGAGGAGGAGGAGGAGAGGAGGAGGAGAAGGAGGAGGAGGAGGAGGCCTCTCGGGGGGGGGGGGGGGGGCGAGGAGGAGGAGGAGCGAGGAGGGACCTTGAGATCCGGGCGTCGCACTTTTTTCACACCGCGGGCGCTTGCGCGCCCGGCTTCGGGCCCCGGGGCCCTCACGGATCGATGCGGCCCGAAAGGTGCCGCGGATAGATAGGGGTCTGGGGCTCCTGCGGGGACTTTTTGCGAGGCTGCATTTTTTCTGACATCTGATCTCGGGGAAGGATCAGGAGGAGGAGGAGGAGGAGGAGGAGGAGGAGGAGGAGGATCCCTAAGGGCTTGACGACTTTTCGCCAATCGACTGGTGGGGATCGGGCCAGAGAAGTCAAGATAGATGCATGCAAATCGAGATACATCCCAAGATCGCCAGGGAAGGACATTTGGAGCCAGTCGTGGCCGCTCCGACGCGAGTCGAGGGTCGGCAAATCATGCCCCCAGAGACCGGGACACAGACTAACCAGGACATTGGCAAGTCGGAGGAACGACATCCTTTCTTGGAAAGTCAGGTTTGGTCGACCAGTGCAGCTTTTTTTTCTGCTGCACCGCAGCATTCGGGTCTTTGTCCGGGTTTATGGCGGGGTGCGCAGGCTCTCAGGGCCTGTGTCTGGATTTCTTCTAGGAGTGGTGCAGTGCAGCTTTTCTCGCGCCGCCTTCTGGGACAACTTGTTTCGAGGCATGCTTTATGTCCTGGTCTGGCGTGTCCGCTTTGACAGGGTCCTGAGCAGAGTAGGAGGAGTCCTCGCGGCGAGGACTCCTCGTCCTCGTCCTGAGCAGACTAGGAGGGTCCTGAGCAGAGTACGAGGAGGACGAGGAGGACGAGGCGAGGACCTCGCCTCGTCCTCCTCGTCCTCGGGGGAGGCCCCCGACAGGGACGGCGCAGCGGTCGGCCGGCGCTCCCCGCCCGCTCCGAGAGCGGCTGCTGCCGTCGCCCTCGCGCGGGGGGGGGGGGGGGGGGGGCAGAGCGCCGGCCGAGGATGGCCAGGCCAGCGCAGCTCCGCCTTCTCCGCTCGCGCCAGGTCTCCGCGGGGGCCCTCCCCGGGATCGGCAGGTGGGGGGGGGCCCGGGGGAGGGCATCCTCCTCCTCCTCATCCTCCTTCTCCTCCTCCTCCTCCCTTCCTCTCTCCTCCTCTCCTCCTCCTCCTCCTTCCTCCCCTCTCCCTCCTCCTCCTCCTCCCCTCCTCCTCATCCTCCTACTTTCCTCCTCCTCCTCCCTCCTCCTCCTCCTCCTCCTCCTCCTCCTCCTCCTCCTCCTCCTCCTCCTCCTCCTCCTCCTCCTCCTCCTCCTCCTCCTCCTCCTCCTCCCCCGTCTGCGGACGCGGCGGCCCAGTTCCCCTCCGTCGCCGCAGACATTCTCCGCCACAGTCGGGGGCGCCTCTCGGGCGGGTGGTGATAGGGGGTGACCCACACTGGGGGTTGGAGGCAAAAAGGGGCCCTGCAGGGCCACTTTGGGGCCCCTGTTGGAGCCCAAGAGGGGCCCCAGGAAAGTGCCCCTGCAGGGCCCTTTGCCTTCACCCCCTCTTTGGTCCCCAGTACCACCCGCCCAAGGACTCGGGGGCCTTGAGGCGGGGGTCACTGCAGGCGGGGGCCAGCCAGAGCGCCGGGATCTTGAAGGGCCCCGCAGGGCCAGGGGTGCACTGACCCAGACTAGCGTGCAGGGTCCTGCAGGCTTCTGCAGGACCCTGCACAGCCCGACTGACCCGGGTTTGGATCGACCTGGGTCAGTAGATCCCGACGACACCATCGGTTGCGCGTAAGAGTCAGCCTTCGCCAGAGTGGCCTCTGGTGCGGGGCCACAGGCCCCCCCCCCGAAGCACTGGCTTGCACGCGTGGACTTGACCCCCCCCCGCGGCCCCCAGAGGCCGCGCACCAAAAGGTCGCCCTTGCCAAGGAACGCTCATGCCTAGGCCCCCATCGGGAGGCGCGGGGGCGAGGGGAGGTCCCTGACATGCAGTCCGTGCGTTCGTTCACCTCGTCCTCCTCCGCCCCCTCCTCCTCGTCCTTCTCCTCCTCAGGGGGGAGGGCTGGCGAGGAGAGGGGGGAAGGGGGGGGGGGCGACGTGGGCGGCGGAGAACCGAGAAAGCGAGATGAGGACGCAGTGAGGGCCAGGGAGAGGTGCTGGAGGAGCTCGCAGCAGGAGCAGCAGGGGGAGAGCGGGTGACCCTGACATCCTCGCATCGTGAACAAAACACGGCTGCAGGTTCTCGCCGTCTTCTGCATCTGAGGGTCTCGCCAGACCCCGGGACTGTCGACAAAAACGGTTCGGGGGGACCACACTGACAAACCACGGCGTCGGAGATTTGGGCATATAGAGGTGGTATCTTCATGTTTCACATTCTTACTCTATGAATCGTTCCCCTCTCACCCTTACGCCTGTGGGGCGTCCTATGGGTTCGCCGTCCCCATTCCCTTCTTCTTCTTCTCCTCCTCATCATCATTACCATCCTCCTCCTCCTCCTTGTAGGAGTCTGGGTGCGACGCCCAGGGGATGTCTGGCGCAGTTTCCGCTTTTCGGCCAGTCTTCAGGGGAACGCTTTTGATATCGTCCCGTTTTGTTTTATGCGTGTGTGGCGGCATTCGCGCTGCTCTGAAGTGCCCGCGTTGCGCTGTGCATCAAAAACACGTCCAAGGGATTCGCCGTCGTTCGGGGGCAGTGCTGGTGGTGCCAGTGGTGGCAGCCCCATCCTCTTGGAGAGGTTGCATGCACTTCAATCAGCTGTAGGTTGCGTGGGAGTCCGAGAATTGCTTCGGCGTGAGGTGAGCAGTTCAATTCAGCTCCGCACCCATTGACTGCAGACGGACCGACGGCGGGTAACGGCGATGTAGGTTTCGGTATTGTGGCAACGCGTGGCTCGCATTTTCCTCATGTTCGCTCGTCCGTTCACATATTGGAAATGTAAGAAAGTGTAGTTCGTGATGTACTAGAATTCGGTTCCCACAATCGCCGTGAAGCCACATCGCCGTGAGCCTGGCCTTGGATTGTGACCCCCCTGCTCCTCCCAGATCGGATTAAGACAATCAAGCCTCGCAGGCTGGAGCCATATCTTTTTCCACGGCCACTCGGGGTGCCCCTGGGTCACGACCCCAAGGCTACACCGGGGGTTGTTTTTCGAGGAAGAGGATCAGGAGAAGCATCGGAGGAGGAGGAGGAGGAGGTGGTGGTTGAGGAGGAGGAGGAGGAGGAGGCGGAGGCGAAGGAGGAGGAGGAGGAGGAGGAGGAGGAGGAGAGAGAGGAGGAGGAGGAGGAGGAGGAGGAGGGAGGAGGAGGAGGAGGAGGAGGGGAGGGGGAGGAGGGGAGGAGGAGGAGGAGGAGGAGGAGGGAAGGAGGGGGAGGAGGAGGGGAGGGGAGGAGGGGGAGGAGGGGGAGGAGGAGGAGCCCCGCGCGGAACGCATCCATGCGCCCGCGCATCTGCGGGGTCGCGACCCCCAGAGTCCAGGCCGCGAGGGCGTGGGCATGGATCTGCTCGCCGCTCGTGGAGGGCCCGAAGGGGCGGGGAGGGGGCTGATGGGCTTGTTTTCCACCACAACCACCATGACTTGGAGGGGGGCAGGAGGTGGAGGACGAGGAGGAGGACAAAGAGGAGGAGGAGGAGGAGGAGAGGAGAGGAGGAGGACGAGGAGGAGGAGGAGGAGGACCCCCTCCCTCCTCCTTCTCCTCCTCCTCCTCCTCCGCTTCGTCCTCCTCATCGTCCTCCATTTCCTTCCCCTCTCCAACTTATGGTGGTGGTGATGGTGGAAAACAGGCCCATCAGGGGCGGCGGAGCCGCAGGCGGCGTGCGGGGGGTCGCCGTGCGACAGCAGCCTGGAGCAGCAGGGCGCCTGCGGCCTGGAGGCGTGCGACCCAGGTGCCGATCAGGACCGCATGCCGGCACGCGGCGGGGCACGGGACAGGGGGGCGCGTGCTGGGAGGAGGGTGATGGGCCTGTTTTCCACCACCACCACCATAAGTTGGAGGGGGAGGGGGTCCTCCTCCTCCTCCTCCACCTCTTCCTTCCTTCTCCTCCTCCTCCACTTTGTCCTCCTCCTCCTCCTCGTTCGCCACCTCCCTCCCTCCAACTTATGGTGGTGGTGGAACACAGGCCCATCAGAGGGGGGGGGCGGGGGGAGGATGGGCGCCGCCATCCCTGCGCCGTGGAGAAGACTTGCGACGGAGTGCGTTTCGCCACTGTCGGCCTTCGGGGGGCCCTCGCCCGGGCCCATGGGGGGCTTACAGAAACGATTCAGGATGAGAAGGCGATGCCGGGGCCTACATTGCATCTGCAGGACGGGCCCACATGTGTTTAAGTCTTAGTTGCTGTAATCACAGAAAAGTAAGCACAGAAAAGGTTCACACATATGTCGCAACCAAAAGCGACTTGAGCAACCAGGGGTATTCTTCGATCGCGAAAATGACGGGGTGGGGGTAAGACTGCCCCAGGGGGGCTTAGACTGCTCAACGGCCTGGGTGTGTCGGCCCTGCCTCGGTTCCGTCCGCCTCGCGACCAAGTGACGGGCTGCGCCCGCGAAAGACTTCGAAGGCCTCGATGCTCGAGTCCTCGTTCCTTACATCCTCGAAGCTCGACCCCTCCCCGGACATATCCGACCACGTGATGATCTCATCCATCCGCGGTAAGAGCTCTGGACCCCTTCTTTCCCGCTAGCAGCGTTACGTCGTCGATCATGCTGTTGTGATATTCCTGGGGCCTCCGTTCGGTCCCAATGGTGGACCGTGTTGGCCGAAAGCAAGGAGAAATGGCAGGACTCAAAGAGATAGTCCTTCGGGTGTTTGGGCCCCGCCCAGCTTGCACCCACTGTTCGCACGACGCCTGCTGCAGCCTGAGCCTCCAGCAGGAGTCGTGCGAGCATCGATGGTGGCTACGGACATGCTCGGGCCCTGGGGTGTCGAAAACCAGTAACATCCACCGCCTGCCGACGTCCCCGAAGGGCGACCCCGCCACGCGCTCGCTGTGGATGGGCCCCCGCCCCGCACTTGGAACGAAAGAAGGGCGTACACCTATCTGAATCCACGCACTGCGTGAATGTTTGTACCACGCGGCAGGTCTCGCGGGTCAAGGGGTCGTGCTCGTGTACATAGCTGGGCGCGTACGTCCTTTGTGGGCCCCCGCCCCGCACAGGACTGCACCCTGAGCGACTGGACCGACTGGGACAAGTGCGACGGCGAGGGCCAGCAGACCAGGGAGCGCGAGGCCGCTCTGGCGAGCCCCGTCGCCCTCTCCGCGTCGGGGGCGGAAGGCCGGAGGGCTCCAAAGGGGGTTTGGGGGAAGGGGGGTTCCCGAGAGCCCCCCAGGGGCCTCGGAACCTCGTCAAAGCAGGGGGTGCGACGCCCCTGGGGGACCCCTCCTGGAAAACCCCCTCCCCAAGAGCCCCCTCTGGAACCCTCCGGGAAGGCGGGGGTGGGGCTGCAGGCGCAGGGTTGGGAGGAGTCATAGCCGGGCATCGAGAGAGCCCGGGAGGGAACGTGGGCGCGAATGACTGGCAGTGCTTCGGGCTGCGCACGGGCAGCCGCCCGATGTGTCCCCGGCTGGCCTCAAAACATGCCCCCCTTAGAAGCCCACTGCAGGGCGGTCTCAGCATCTCGGCGCCGGCTCCGCCGGCGCCCTAAGGGCGCTCCGCGCCCGCTGGGTTGGAGTGTCGAGACCGCTGCGGACTACTCGGGGGGCCTGTTGAACCCAGTTGGGACTACCTCGGGGGCCTGTCTGCGCGCAACCCGAACCCTCCTGGGGGGTTCCTGTAGGGGCCGTGTCATTGAGCATGTTCTTGCCCCCAAAGGACGCCCATCCAGACAAAGCCATTCAGGAGATCTGCCCAGCTCAATCGACATTGGCGCTCGAGCGTGTCTGTGCAGTCGGTGTCGCTCATCGGGGTGTGGTCTGCGGGGTGCATCCGGCTGTTTTTGGACGCCGACTATCTACTCCGCCCAGCAGCGCCCGACATCCGGTGCCGCGCGCACCACCAGCAGTTTTCACTCCCTACCCTACTGGGCGTTTGCTGAAGGTCATTTCTTGTCAGCGGCATCGTGCAGGCGCGGTGCTTCGCAGAGCGGCAGCGGGGGCATGGCAGAGCCATTGTCGCGCCGATACTTGTGGAAAGAGGCGGGTGCGCGACCGCGGAGGAAGCCAGAGGAGAGAGCCGCGGTTCAAGCAGTGGCGAAGCGTCCTGCCTCGCCCATAGGCCCACCAAAGAAAGCTCTGAGAACCTGTTGCGGTCTGCGCGAATTCTTTGTGGACAATGTTTGGCTGAGACTGTCTTGTTTTAGCACGTCGGGTTTCTGTTATGAGAGCAGTGCTTTTGCTGTTCGAACACTGCTGGGCTCTAAGACATGTTCGTGGTAGGTCTAGAGGAATGCCGGGACGGTCGGTCCCTGCTCAAGCGATCACATTTGGGAACACAAGGAGGATGATGATGATGATGAGGAGGAGGAGGAGGAGGAGGAGGAGGAGGAGGAGGGGGAAGAGGAGGAGGAGTAGGAGGAGGAGTCAAGCTAGCCAGCTCGAGCGAGTCAAGCATGGCATGCCCAGTCCCACCCGCCCTCCCACAACATAAGAAGCAAAGCTGGCACAACTGGGGGCCGAAGTCACACCGGCCAGCCGGTTTGGTACAGCTGATGCGGCCGCGATGGCGGTTGCCGACGGGAACTGGCGAGCGCGTGTTGAATGCCGCGCACGCATTGCCAGACGAGTCGAGAATGGCCCGGTACACCGCAGGAAGCCAGAGGTGGCCGGAGGAAGCCCGACGGTCTGACAGGACACCCCAAAGCATTTTTGTGAAAAAGCATTGGGTTTTTGATGTTTTTATGTTGAAATGCTTGCAAACACACGGTGTTCGGTAGGATTCTGACATGAACGCGCGAGTGTGCTCTTTGTGGTATTTTTTGCACAGGATTCGCGGCCTGGGTGCATGACAGAGCATCGCGAGTGCACCGTGCGATGACGTGAAATCGCTGGATTTGACCGAATTCTTAAGATTCCGATGGTTTTCCTATGATTTCAGCAAGAGAGCCCGGGCGGGAAATTGGTACATTTTTTGTGAAAAAGCATTGGGTTTTTGATGTTTGTATGTTGAAATGCTTGCAAACACACGGTGTTCGGTAGGATTCTGACATGAACGCGCGCGTGTGCTCATTGTAGTATTTTTTGCAATGGATTATCGCCGTGGACGACAGGACGTCCATGTCGAGAGGAAAAAAATAAGAAACATGTTAATTTTGTATTGTTTTTTACAGGTTAGGATGGGACCACCCGGATGCGCCCGCTATCTGCCGGTCTGAGGGGGGAGTAGGAGTATATTCTAATAAGGAATAAGGATAGGAGGAGGAGAAGCAGGAGGAGGAGGAGGATGAGGACGTGGCGTGAGGATCGAAGGACAGACGACCGCACAAAAAACGTCATCCGTCGGAGGTCCGCACGGGTCCTTGGTTGTCGGCGCTGCTCCCCCCCCCGCCGAGGGGTGGCGTCTCCGGCGCCCGGCGCCGAGCCAAGAAGTCCGTGTCTATGTCACGTCGGAGGAGGGGGGGGGAGGAGGGAGGAGGGAGGAGGAGGAGGAGGAGAAAGAGGAGGAGGAGGGAAAGGAGGAGGAGAAGGAGGAGGAAAAGGAGGAGGAGGAGGAGGAGGGAGGAGAAGGAAGGAGGAGGAGGAGGAGGAGGAGGAGGAGGAGGAGGAGGAGGAGGAGGAGGAGAGGAAGTCTGTTCCGACCTCAGTTGCCCTTCCAAAGGAGGTGGGGGGGAGGAGGAGGAGGTGGTGGAGGAGGAGGTCAGCTGCGCCCTTCACCTTTGATGCCGCAGCCGTCTCAGCACAGATGGCAGGAGAAGGACGAGAAGGTCTCGTTTTGGGGCTGATGCACCCTCGCCTTTCCTCCTCCCCCTCCCCCTCGCGACGTCCTCTGCTCGCTCGACCCGCCCACTCATCCTGTGCGGCCTCGCGCTCGTGTGTGGCGAGGGTGCCTTCTGCTCTCCAGCCTCGCCGCCCTCTGCCCGCAGAGTTCGGGGGGAAGCGAGCGTCCGCAGCCGGCCGCCCGCCGCGCTCGCCGCAGCCTCGCACACAAGGAAACGAGCAAACAATAAAAAACATAGAATTTCAAGAAGGAGGAGGAGAAGGAGGAGAAACTAGCAAATAACAAAAGCATCTAATTTCAATAAGGAGGAGGAGAACGAGGAGAAACGAGCAAATAGTACAAGACATCTGATTTCAATGAGGAGGAGGAGGAGAAGGAGGAAAGGCAGGAGGAGGGGGTGGAGGGGGAGGGGAGGCAGCAG